AAAATTAACTCTATCCCAGCCGAAACCAGGACACCTCTTCAAATGCAACATGCGTCTTCCTTGGAGAAGGCGGCGTCACTGAGCACTTCTGCGGGTGGGTTTAAACAGTGCAAAGCCACGTTGTACTGCTGAGCTAATCCGCCTTGTCTCTTTCTGTCCCTCCTTTGCTCACCATCACCAACCCCTCACCCTTCTCCGAGAGCTCACCTCCGGTGAGTCTGAACCTCGGACTCCAGAGCCCCCCACCAGCCTGTTTCTCCCTGAACTTAAACCAAGGCTTGGTTTGCAGCTTCCGCTCGCGCAGATCACCTCCATCTCACCACGTGCAGCCAGGGGACCGGTGGAAACCACATCCCGTGGCTCACGGACGAGAGGTTTGGGGCTGCTTCAGTCCACAGAACATGACGTCTTTCTTGGAGTTTAATTTCCTCGCCCGATTTGGACTGTATCTGTCTAGGTTTCCTGCGACAGCAGTGAGTTGCGACGCAGTGAAACCATCGTGTTTAATCATGAACAGCCTGCACTACGGGGGATTGAATTTCATGCAAAATGTTCAGCGCCGCTTTTTGGATATTCAGCAAGGGTGTGGGCGTTCGGCTTGTTTGTGGCTCTCTGGGTATCCTGACAGTAGTAAGTAACGGAATACATTTCATCCTACAGCTTCCTATTTTTGGTGTATGACCGTCACACTTTGCTCCGACAATCCGTCAATTCTTAGATGATGCAATTAGAAAATATACTTCTTTTTTCCCCCCCTTCAAATAAGAATCTAAACGAATATTGTCTTTTAAATGACAATGCCAGCCCCGCCACCCCTCCTCGCAGCCATAAGCAGAGAGAATAGGGAGTTATACGGTAAGTGGGCACTTAAAAAAAAATAAAATAAAACAGCAAATGCTTTTAGCAAATTCCTCCTGAAGTGCCTTTCCGATGCAGCGATGGGTTGGTCGCGGGGTGCTGTGCCCTCCCTGGGCGCGTACCCTACAAGCCTCGCGGCCTATTTCCGAGCTCACGCTAACGAGTTTGATCGCGCTCCTGAAGCTCACGATTACACAGACGAATACAAAGCGTCCCTCGGAGACAGGACGCTGGAAGAAGCAGCCACACGCCAAGCAAGCCTCATTAGTTTTCTTTCCACGTTGCCCACGTTATGTTCCAGAACTAAACAAGTGTTTTTATGACTAACTTGACACTTCTTTGCTACAAACCCCCTTGCAAGCGCCGGCCGGCCCAGCGGTCAATGACGAATGACCGTGACAAACGGAGGACCGAGCACAGGTTCAAACATGAAACCGTTTAATGCATTTTTGCCACCTATCTGCGGACAGATAACTTGGGTTTGGTGTCAAGCATGAAGATAAATATGTACATCTTTCCACAAATGGCTTTACATAAAACCATACTTTGACTACAGTTAAAAAGGAGTAGAAAAATACACGATGCGCTCCGAAAGTCCGTTAGGTAACCAAGCCAGCAGGCACAGGCTCCAGGAGACGGACAAAGAGACACCGCTTCTTCGAGCCAAACGCTCCAAAGCAATAACGTGGTACTCCCTCATCGAGCCAATTTTTTGGAATAAGGTGTTTGCCTGTGGACAAAGCCTCTGACGCAGCAGTGACATCGTATCCCTTTCCTGCAGCCAGCGGCATCGACAGGCCCCGCGCTGCGGGATCCCGTAGTTTGTCTCACAGCTCCCGTCGCCCTGCAGCGAGGCACCGCTCGAGGAGCGGAGCTGAGCCGGTCTGAGCCCCCTAGGCCGTCGGAATCGAGGAGAGGAAAAGCCGGGCACCGTACCCAAAGCCGCTGTGCGCTGCCAGGTTACGCTGCCAGCCCCAGAAACAGCCGCCTTCTCAACTCGGTGAGAAATAACCTGCAGGTAAGGTTTGCAGAAAGCTGGGGAAAGAAAGGAGAGGCGGTTATTGAACTGACTGCTGGAACGGGGAAGGGAGGAGGAGGAGGATTCCGCATGAACCGAAATCGGAAGCTGCAATCACACTATTTCCCCTCTGAGGAGTCAACGAGACCTCCCAGGCCTGGATGCGGAAGGTGTTTATACCAACCGGCGCTCGCTTTAAGACAGAAGAACACAGAGGTGTTCTCAGGAGGGGGTTATCCTCCTGCCGTGTTCCTGCTAGATCGCGTTTTCTTGGGCAGAGCGGCAAAATAGGCCGGAAAAGGATCTTTTGTGGAAGATGTGGATCGGTCCCATACGGTTTTGGAAGACTCTGCACGGCAGGGGATGAAAAGCAGGGTCCCTCCCTCCGGTTTGAGACCGAGGGAGGAGAGCGGAGGCCAGTTCGCCTTTACGGAAGGAGGCAGAAATCAGAGTCGTGTTTATCCTGTGCCAAGTATTGGGTTTATTCTAAGCCAATTACAGATATGTCTGGAGGGGGCTTTTAAGGCTGGAGACGTGTGTGGGACACAAAACGAAAGTCTCTGTGGGTTGCTGGCTTGCAAAGCCTGGGAGGAAGTTTCACAAAGTAATAAATCATAAAAAGCCCACTCTGTTTCTTCTGCTGTCTTTCACCTAGGGACTCAAAGCATCTTTCTAATAGTAACGAAGCCTCGAACACTCATCGCCCTCGTATCGCAGATAGGGAAACAAGTCCCGTCGACTGGAAAGCGCCCAAGCCCTGGCAGCAAGCCGGCGGCAGACGGGGGAAAGAAACCAGGTACCCTGAGCCCTTCGCCTCCCCGCTTAGCAGAGCCGAAGCGCGGCCGCCAAGACGTACGTTAGCTGGGCAGCCAGCGCCTGCAGCACGCCTGCTCACCTGAAAACCAAAAACCGAATCGACCGCTGGTGGAAAAAGGTTTTGAATTTCCTAGTGACAAGCCCCTCTCCACGAGATGTTTAAAAATACCCCCCGAGCCACCTGCTTTCCCAAGAGTTACACAGCGGAGACGCAGTCCCCAACGGTGACAGCTGCTTCCCTCAAGAATAAGCCCAGTTTGCGCGAGGAGGGAAGTGCCACCGCTTCCTGAGGAGCAATGCTGATTCAGGCAGGAATCAGCCCCTTCTCATCCATGGGAGATGCCATGGGCGGCTGCTCCAAAAGCTCTGATCCAGTGACACACCGGTGCCACACTCCAGGCTCTCAGGAGGGTCTGAAAACTGCAGCTACATCTCTGCCGGCTCTGCCGATGCTCCTTTGGGAATCCCAGTGCGACGGACGGTGCTTTGAAAGCGGTTTTAGTGCTGGCTGAGCATCTCTGCCCAACACAAAGAGCTCTAATTTGCTCCTTCGCCCGCTGGCTGTCTCTTGCTGTCCCCGCTGTTAGAACAGTCTGGGCAGGGGAGCAAAGTTTCTCCCAAGAGACAGCTGGGGGAATCTCGGCGGTGAGTGTGGCCGGCTGGGAGAGCCTCGCAGTCAGCCACATCCTCCTCTCGCATGGTGTTTTCCTCTTCCCGAGTCTCGCTGCCGGCTGCCTGCTGTGATTTCTTGGCTAGAGGGGAGACAAGACTGCCGCTGCCCTTCTCTTCCCGCTGACACTCCTTGGTTTTAATGCCCACAGCTTTTAGGATCGTGTCCATTTGCTTCATATAGTCCAGGTGGCCATTTACCTGCAAGCAACAAGAAGAGTCCTGTTAGTGGGGAAGCCGCGGGGAAGCTCAGTCAAGTCCTTCACCTCAAAAGCCACCGCGGCCACGAGACTTGGGTTTAGCTCTGAAAGGCTGAAAGAATGAGGTCTGAAAAATGCAGCTGTCCACTGAATAGAATAACCTGAATGGGCTGCACCCTTTGCGGCACATACTGCTGTTGGATTACATTTCCTCTAAGATGTGTATGTTTAAATGCTTGGATGTTGCCGAGTTACAAAACCCCGGATTCTGGGTGCCAAGAGGGTGAGAGGGCGATCTGCCACGGTGAGAGACACCCAGATGGGAGACAAAGTGTCTTAGTTCAACTCCCTGCTCTCTGCTAAATCACGTGTCCTCCCTGTGCCTTAGCTCCTTTGTAAAAGCAAAGATTATCTTATTTAAATTAGGATGCAGTCATTAAATCTCACAACAGCTACCAAGCATGTGAAGGTTCTTGGCTGGAAGGTGCACTGGTCTGGCCCACGCCATATAAAACTGGGAGCCTGAGAGTTACAGGTTCATAAACCAAATTAAAGTCAACGATACGTGCAAAACGCCACACATTTTTATTGTAAAGTGATTTCCAGGGTAAGATAAACCCTTCGGAGACGGACGTTGGAATGAGCTCTTCCAGTCAGGGCGCAGGAGGGAGAGAAAACCTCCTCTGCAGGTTGTTGTTGTCAGATGCTAAAGGCTGCCTGGCTGAAAGGCAGCAGCTGCCTTCCCTGTTTCAGGTGTCCCGTGCAAGCCGAGACTTTGAAGTTAAGGACAGCCGAGATCCTACCGGAGACCAGCCCGCAGATCTCCTTCGCTCCTGCACTCACAGCCAACACGGGAGGAAGCGCACGGTGGATTTATAGTGGGTTTATTCTGTGGAAAGCGCAGTCAGCCTGGGTCGAGGCTATTTTGACGGTACACTCGCCAGCTGGCCTGCAGATCTCCGCACAGGTTAAGGGGTATGATTTGCACCCTAAGATATTTTAGCATCTTTGGTGAATTCTGTTTCTAACAGTTTAAATGCTTCCTGACCCATCCAGAAAGCTGTCTCTCGGGCAACACCACCTCTCATTTTCCCACATCTTGCTCGTAATTAGGGAAGTTCCGCAGCAGGGAATACCCGACACCACAGTCCCAGGTTTCCTGCTTCCCAGCCACGTGTACGAGTGCCCCGGGAAGGGGCTGTCTGCTCGCACAGGACGGGGAGAGCTTTCCACAGAGCCCTGCAAGGAAACCCAGCCGCGGGCCCTCTGCTCGCCTCCCTGCTCCGGCCGAGAGGCTGGCTGACGCCCGGGCCGTCCTTCCTCGCTCCGCCAGCAGCCGGGGTTACCGGCACACCTCTGCCCAAAGCTAAAGCAAGCCTCCTTCCCCGCACGGGCAAAACGCAACCCTCCTAGCCATTTGCGTGAAGCAGGTTTTGAGTGGTAACATTTGGATGCACTTAGGACTTGGAGCAAAATGAAGGATTTAATCAGCACGTTAGTAATGCAATATGCGACTTGAATCAGTCCAGATGGCTCAACAGGCTCTGGATGTTTTGAACAGATTAGTTAATTAAAATAACCATTGAAGGACTAATGGACTGGCTGTTAAGATGTGTACATTGTTCTCTGAAAAACTATGAACCTTTTACTACTCAGTAGGGGGGCTACTAAAGAAAGAAATGAGCACAGCGTTGGACGAGGTGGAGCAAAACAAGAAACGGACTTACTGGGAGGGGTTGCTGAAGTCTCTTGGGTTGCTGTATTCTGAAACCTCTGCAGTCATCGCAGCCTACCTGCCCCGGTCAGCGCTCGGGCGTTTCTCAGCCTGTTACATTACCCAGTCATTAGTCAGAGAGAACAAATTCCCTCTTGCCACCCTAAGGACTAGATCTGTGTAACTCCTCAGTATCCAGCAGCTTCCACTAAACCCATGGGGAATTCCTCTTCCCTGAGCACCACAATCCCTGAGGGACGCTGGGTATGAGCAATTTGAAGAGCTGAGCCTTTCCTCATGCAGCTAAAAGAGAAGCTGAGAGCTCCTGTAAGCCTGTCCCTTACTGCGGGTCTGCCAATACCACTAAACTTCTGCAAAGGAAACTCGCTTCTGTTTCCAGGATAGTCCAGGAGAGGATTCCATAAAGCCAGACCAATGCAAGCCCTGAGAAGCGTAAGAGGAGGTCGGACTCTTCCTCTGCTATGCTGTGACATTAAGTACTGAGCCATCAGCAAAAGAGCAGCGAACAAATTGCCTTGACGCTTGAAAGCTGTGAAGCCATCCTGGTGGGAAAATTCAGCAACGCCATCTCTCAAAAGCCCATTTTCATCTGCAATCTGAAAAGCTGAATTCCTCCACTGGGTAGGCTGTGCTGGAGAAGGGATGGGAACATCTAAAACACTGTAAGGGACAATAAAAACTTTAAAGGGAAATAAAACAATTGTTTGAATATTCGTCAGAACAAAGCGCAGGAGGAATTTCAGAATAAATGGAATAGAAAAGTGTTCTTGTAACCAAGGCACATAATATTTATGCTTGTTACAAGGAAATGAGAGCAGTGGGGTAGGTTTATCTCCCCTGTTGTATCTGCTTTTATGGTTGCTTTGACTCACTGGAAAACACAAGCCAGCTGCCTGTATCACTAATTCTGCTGCAGGACTACAGCACAGCACAGGAAGATCTCCAAAGGGCTCCAGGTGACGGCATTGTTCAGGTGGATCGATCGGTCGGCCGAAAGGAGCCGTCGGTTCGGTAACTTTGGAAAGGTTTTCAAGTTCAAATCCACCCAAAAGCGTCAAAAATGTCATTGAGCATAATCAGCTGCGTCTATTAAATTCAAATGGACGTCTTTTTATTTGGTACAATAAGTGCCTCTGGTTACGGTGTCATAAAAACACAGTTCAATTTATGGGAGCTTTGAAAACAAATAATGCCACCCCTGGGCCTGCAGCCAACCCGCTGGTGGCTGCTGTAGCAAGGCGAGCTGCGAGCTCTGCAGCACACGCTGCTCTCCGTGTTGACGCCAGCAGTTCTAGGTGGAGAGGGACAGGGGACAGAGATCAGCATGTCCGAGAAGAGATGATGACGGAATCAACCTGCAGTTACCACGCAGCTCTCTCCGTTAAAGCCGGTGCAATCTCCTCGGCTCCACTCAGTTGTCTTTGCGGTTGGTTTTCCCCAGTGTTGCGAAAGAACAGATAAAGCACCGACACAGGATCCACCCAGCTCTTTAGGACAGAGGAAGAATCCCAACTTGCAACGCACGGTGTAGCCTATAGCCCAGAGGGGATGCTTGGGGACAAGCCAAGCGGTGGACAGAGAAGGGACCTGGGAGAAAGGAGACGCTACGTATGAGCCTGGCTCTGCCACGGACTCACGTGAGCACAGGCAAGACTCTTACTCCATCATGACACAGAATCATTGAATCATAGAATCGTTTAGGCTGGAAAAGATCATCCAGTCCAACCATTAACCTAACACTGCCAAGTCCACCACTAAACCAGTTCAGGGTAGAGCAGTAATTTCATGTTTCCTGGCTTGCTGGCTGGATTATTTTTTAATGAAAGTAAAAACTAGGAATCACTAAGGTTGGAAAGGATCTCTAAGACCATCAGTCCAACTGTCACCCCAACACGCCCATGCCCACTAAACCATGTCCCCAAGTGCCACCTCTGCCCGTTTTTTGAACCCCTCCAGGGATGGGGACTCCCCCACCTCTCTGGGCAGCCTGTTCCAACGCTTGACCACTCCTTCCGTGAAGAAATTTTTCCTAATATCCAATCTAAACCTCCCCTGGCGCAGCTTGAGCCCATTTCCTCTCATCCTATCACATGTTACTTGGCAGAAGAGCCCAACACCCCCCTCACTGCCCCCTTCTGTCAGGCAGCTGTAGAGAGCGATATGGCAGAGGAACTCTTTGCTCACTCCAGAGCCAACTGCTTTAAGATCCCACCCAGTCTCCTTCACAAAGAGCTCCTCCACCCATCCCAAGCAGCCAATGCAAAGAGCGCACGCCTGCTCCGCGGCCCGGCGCAGCTCGCAAAGCTGTCTGCTTTGCAGGGCTGCGTAATTTGCCAGAGCGCACCTGAAAGTCCCTTGGCCTCCCTGCTACCTGCAGCTGGGCTCTGCCTTCCTCCTGCTCTCCTCGACCAAACATCCTACAGATTCACAGAGGATTACCGCGGAGCGAGGGAGGCAGGCAGCGTGAGCGGAGGATGCACAGGTACCCTCTGCGTGTCACAGGAGCGCAGGTCATTAATACGGCTGAGAATTTCACCTCTTTGATTTGCTTTGAGCCCGTCACATCCAAAGAGCAACTTTATCAGGCAGGTAAAAGATACCCTCAAGCTAAAACGTCTCTCCAGAGCTTCGTTATTTCAGCA